AACTGTTTAGCTATAATTTTACAACAGAATGTAGAGGGTGAGAAAAGTCACTCTGTCCCTAGGAAACCAGAATATTTAGTACTGATGTTCCAAATTTAAACAGCCCTCCCTGCCCCCAGAACAAATAGTGTGTGAGTTCCTTTAAGCCCCATCTTCACTTCTTCTCTTGTCTGGAAAGGTTAACTACTCACAATACCCTCATTCTTATTTCTTCTCCAACTTCTGTACCCAATTGATCAACAAGTCATCAAATGTATAGATAGAAACATTCTAAATGACTGGTATGTTTCTCTTTTAATACTACTGTCCCAACTCAGGTAAGAGAAGCATCTTTGCCATAAACAGTCCGTTTTTAACTCTCTTTTCTTCTCCCATCACCTGATACCTACAATAGGATTTTGAGGACCACACAGACTCTGTCTATAGATGAATTATATTTCTATCTAATATACATCACTTTTTAGATAAATGCAGAAGACAAGTTTACCTAAAAAGGTGTATATCAATCTCACTTTATGAAGCATTTTTACGCACTATTCTATGGGGCTGGAAAATGCCTGATGTGTGAAAGTATTCTTCTAGTCTAATCTACACATTCCATTGTACCAATAACTACCATGTTACTAATTTTTAAATACTAATTTTAAAATGAGAAAACATCATTATTTTGCTTCCAATATATATCACAAACCAAGTTCCCTAAACCCACTACATAGCCAAGTAACAATGTGAGGAAGGATAATAAGGAAATCCAATGAGAATTACAGCTCTCTGTACTTCTGAACTACAAAGCATTGCACTGGCTTCTTAAGATACAGTATGGCCCAAACAGATCAAATTAATTAATACATCAGGACCACAGTTACATGACTGCATAATTTGTTAGTAACATCAAGAAGGTTATAACACAGTAGATGAGAACAAGCAATTCTCCAAGATATGGCACTAACACTGAGCATGGAACAATTGTCTGAGCTGTGGATCCTTTTACAGGCATGAACACAGTGATTTGTAATTTAACTGCTACTATAGAAAATCACAAACATGCCATGAAATGTCCACAGATTCAAAAAGAGACATTTGCATGTCTTTTAGAGAAAGGACTAATTTCTTTGTATGGAAATTGATAGGGGTGGGTCAGGTATAGGAGAAATTGTTGCAACATGCATGCCTACTACAAACTTTGCCCATTATTAGCTACCAGTACATTCTAAAGCTTAATTATCTTCTTACTCATTATTTTTTTAATGTTGAAGTTAAAAATTTTTAACATAACTGCAGACACCATAATTAGAATCATTAATTCAGATGCACAACTTTCTTTGTACAGTTGAACTGGCTAATGAATTTTTTGATAACCAAGTGTTAGCATGTGCCTGTATGACTAAGTACATATAAATATGTTGGTGAGGAAGAATTGTCTGTATTCTGTCAATCATGTTTTAAATAAACGCTGATTGGCCAGGCAGGAAGTATAGGTAGGAAAACCAGACAAGAAGTAAAGGTGATGCAATGAGAACAGGAGAATTCTGGGAAGGAGGAAGTTGATTCTTCCCACTCCTTCCCAGATCACCGAAGCAGCAGGATGTGATCTGCCCCACTGAAAAAGGTACTGAGCCACATGGCTAACATAGATCAGAAAAATGGGTTAATCAAGATGTGAGAGTTAGCCAGTGAGAGGCTAGAGCTAATGTATGTGTGCATGGGTGTTTTTGATTCTTAATTCTTTGCACTGTGCTGCAATTTCCTCTCAAGCTAATGTCAGAACAAATCTACATCACTTATCTGAACAGGAGAACGTAGGGGTTTAGTTTCTGCTACAGATTATATAGCTCATTGAAAGAATTGCAGTTAAACTACTAAAAAGGAAGTAAAATATTTTCCTAATTTGTTCTTAACAAATTGCTTCTATGAGACATATGCCTCCATATCCTCTTTTACTTGTGGGCTATTAGATGTGCCTGCTTTTCCTTCCCATTTGGGGCATGTCTGTTTAGATTACCTCAGACTTTACTAAACACAGTTTAAGCCTGTCCTCATTATTTTTCTAACATCTGCACAAGGAGTATCAAACAGGAATGAAACATTTACTCTCATAATCATAAAAGCCAAGTCCTTTCTCATTAAAAAGTTGATAACTATTTTTTATTATTTTTTGACAATTTCATGCATGAGTATTAAATTTATAGCGTTTTCAATTTCTTTTACATCAGATTAACCTTTTCTTGCAGAATTGGAGTGTGAGTTTGTACATTAATGTAAGCAATATTATTTGAATGTATGTTTAATGTACTTATATATAGATATAGATAGACATGGTTATATGTATGCATGTGTATAAATATACTCTTGAAATAAATTTTCTTTAATTTCACACTTGTTCCCTGGATCTAGACAAATATAACACAGAAACTTCTCACTGTCTAAGTGATCTCTTTTCCCTTAGTCTAAATAATCTTCCTGCCATATTTTATTATGTGTTCCTAAACTCCATATTTTTATTGTCTCACCTCCAAACCTACCCCCTTTTCCTTAATTGGATCAGAAGATGAAGTATGTCAACATTTCCTTTCTCAGCTAGTCAAGTGAGGTATCTGGAAGAACACTCCAATGTATGTTAAGCGGGGGCGGGGGTTCTCTCTGACTCCTTTCACGATTCCTCTCTGACAAAGCTTCCAGGACAGGCATGCCAGGAGTTTCCAGTCACTAGGAAAGGTAGCCCTAGGAAAATACATTCCTCACATGTTTCTTCAGGAGCTGCAGCTTGGGCTTCTAGGAGCTTCTGGACCTTCTTCACTGATGTATGAGCTCACTGCCTTGGAGAAGTGAATTGTTAAGTGTCCTGCTTCATTCCCTGGTTCGAATCGTTTCTGCTTCTGCATTCTGTTGTTCTCCATTTCTTCACTCTAAGTTTTATTTTTGCCCTTTAAATGCCCATCAAATCTTTTAAGAGTTAATAATGCTTTGTGTTAGATTGTTGCTCAAATTTCTATTACAGATACATTTTTTTTTTATGGCAGTCGGACCAGGATCTATCCCTGGCACAAGAACTAGCTTATTGGAACCCATACCCTGTGGTGGGATGCCATGCTCACACTTAATGCAGGAGCTTGGTCCTTCCCCAGCTTAATGTGCCAGAATTTGCTGACTTCTCCTGGGTGCCCTTTCCCATCTGGAGGAGTAGATAGAGGGTGGGCTTGGGGGGGAGGCAGGGGGCAAGAAGGAGGGTTGGAGGGAGAACTATAGATAGAGTATAAAATGAAATAAAAAATAAATTTAAAAATATGTTTGAAATTGAAATGGAATTACATAAATTTCCCCTTCCCTATCCTTCCCACAGCCCCTCTCAGGTACTCTCTCTTCAACACCTCCCATGCACTCAACCTCCATTTCCAATAGTCTTTTTTTTCTCTCTTTGGTTATTATTGTTACCCACACACACGTATAGACATACACAAAGATGTTTGTGTAGGTGTGTGTGTGAGTGTAAACATAAAACCTGCTATATATATGTCTTGTTGGTGGTGTGTATATGGTTTCAAGGCTGACCACTCAGGACTGGACAACCAGTAAGGGCCCTAATCACTGAAAAAGGTGAACTCTCCTCCTTCTCCCAAGAGTCTGAAGTTCTTTGCCTGTAGTTCTTGTAAGATCCCAGTACATTTGCCCCTTTATGGTAATATGCTCCCTGATGTTAAAGCTTAGGCTCTGTGACATGTGTTCCTGTTGTTCCAAAATTGTTCCTGTGTCTCTTCCCTGTTGGAGAGAAAGGAGCCATTACATTGTCACTTTGAAGGAATTTTAAAGACCTCACAGTTTTTGTTTTAACACCCTGCCCCAAAGTGAAGCTCTCCCCTCAGTCTCACAACCTGTCACCCTGTACACCACACAGGTCCTAGAAGACATTAATGATGTAGAAGGCTTATTCTAATGAAAGAAAAGGCAAATCACTTCATTGTAAAAGTAGTATTTCTGCACAATCCCAAAAGTCAGAGAGATAGTAATGAAATGAATGTTTAAGAGAACCAGAAAAGGGTGAATGTTTTGTTTTCCTTTGTTTGTTCATCCAGGTGGAAAATACCCAAACTTGTCCATTTCTCTTCTGTATTCTCAGAGTGACAGAAGAAATTGGGAAGAGATGAAAATATGGGGAAGACCAGACACAAAATTAACCAAGGCATCTTTCCTGATTCTCATTCTCAGGAACTTAAGGTGCTATGGTCAGAAGTAGAGGATGTCTGAGGACTGAAGATACTGTGAGCCTCCCAGCTGACAGAGAAGCAGCATGGGATAAGAGAGAAGGAGCATCCGGTAGGGAAGGAATCAGGGCAGGTATCATTTGGAAGATATGGCAGAATCTCACATAGCAATAATGAGCAAATATTATTTCAAGAAATTATTCTATTACACAGCAGTATAGTTAGCCATTAAAGGCAGAAATGATTAGTAATATTTTTACATACAATTAAGAGTTTCCCAATTTCCCTCTCACTAGATATCATTTAAAGTAATACAAATGAACAATTCAACAAAATCCAGTGATTTCAACCCTGTAGTTTTCTTTGGTTTGCACGTGCTTCTTGTGTGTGCAGACTACATGACTAATACAAAAGGATATCTTCATGTACCACCACCATTGGTGAGAAGTGGCTACCCATGAAACCCATCAGTTATATGGAAGCCAAGCAAGTGCTTTAACACCAGAAAATCATCACCAATAATGCAATTCTTTCACTTTAATTGTGATTGTATGCAACATTACATCTCGGTAGGTTATTTGGGGGAGAAAAACAAAAGATGTATATAATTAGCTCATTTAAACATTTAAGCTTTTGTTGTGTTCCACAGAAAACCCAAAACACATCCTCAACATTTTTCTCATGTGACTAGACATGAGATATATAAAGAATTATGTTACAATAATAATACATACTTGCTCTAAATTACCAACAGTTTCCAATCAGTTAAGAAACATATTTGATATTAAAAAAAAAACTCACCATATCTGTATCTGAGACAGGGCCAAAACTGGTCACGTAGATGTTAGTGAAGACTTCAGTAATACTATCTAATATGAAAAGAAGAAATTGGACACAGATTTAAATAGTGAAATCTGCAAGAGAGAAAAGGATCTGAGTACATGGTGTGAAAGGAAGTGGGAGATCATGACAGTGTACCCACTCTTTCCAGGCTATGGTCACAACTGACGGAAGGTAAACCTAGAGGAGCTTTCATCTTCCTCCTTAGAAAGCAGGCTTGCTAAAAATTTCTTCTAAAGGTTATGTTGTTTATTATGAATAACTTATTAGGAACCATCTAAAGTAAATTATTTGAGCAAATTTATCACTAACCCTGACAATAGCATGCATACTATTTGATACTCTAAATTTGATGATTAAACTAATATTTCAGATGTCATTTCAGGGCTACTGAAATTCATAGTTTGCACGCAAGAATAAGTATTTCATTTACAAATCAATGTATCTTTTCCTAAAATAAAGAAAACAAACTATTCACATTATAAATAGATGTGATTCATACATATATATATATATATACACTTAATACTAAATAGCACTAAAAAAAAGCAAAGTGAATAACTTAAATTTATATATTTCATTATTTATAAAAAAACTTGGTCATTAAATTTCTTTACACCTGCTTGAAACGCAAAGATATTAATGAATAGGATTCTAAAATTATGAAACCTATGAATCGTAACACACAAAAATCATCAATTAAGCAACAGATTTTGATATTCATCTTTAAATTAAAAAAAATAAAGACATCATTTGTTTCCATCATCATTGGCTAAATGTCACAGTAAAATCTGAAATTCCACATTTCCGAAATGATAAGGAGCATCAACTTACAAAGGAGTAGTGTGTGCATATAATTTTGAAAGAAGGCACTCCTTTTAAATAAAATAATTTTATTACACAGACTCTTAAAAATTTTTAAGCTTTTACTGCACTATGTGTTCTTCAAAGGACTTAGTATAGAATAATTTGCATGTCAAGTCTATTTAGGAGATCTCTTGTTACATCCCCATAGTGTATACAAAGATGTACAGTAAGCTGGAAACATTGCCTTATCAAATACTCTGTATTGTTATAAAGAGCCTGGTTTTATAACTCCACATACTCTTATTTCTGAATCTTCACACTAAACCCATGCATTGTGCTACAATGGATAATAGACTTGAGACTAAATGTAGATTCTTATTAACTATGTATTTCCATTTACTGTATGTTCTCTGTCAAAGCACAGTGAAAGTGAATCAATTAGCGTATTTATTCTACTTTAATATGTATGTCCTTCCATTTCTTAAACTATATTTATTTATTCTATTATATAGCTCTCAGCACATAAATAAATTGATACAATTTTCCTCCTGACAGCTGTCTGAAACACATCCATATGGTAAAGTTCCTGGGAAGGCACCTTGTGCTGAACTACAAGATCCCAAAGTCCTGCGTTTAATTTAATTTTTGTTCCTGTTCAACAAAATCCTAGCACTATTTTTTAACGAAGGTCATGAATTTCCTTTTTTAAACTGAACTACTCAAAGTATGTTGCTATCATGGTCCTGTCCTATATGTGTTATTATAAAAAATTGTGAAACGAAACTCAAGATTTTATTTTCCTCTTTTAACATGTCAATCATGCTACATCATTTATTCAATACATAAATGATATAAAATTCAGATAATATAAACATTCAGTTAAAATGTTCCAGGGAAGAGAAATTACAGTATTAAGGAGTTTTTTAATTAACTAGAGAAAATGATTCCCTTTAGTATGAGCAGCAAAGATGGGGGAGAGAGATGATCAAAAAAAAAAAATGTGCAAGCTAAAGATGTGAATAACAATCTCTCTTATGTTAATGACAGGCAATGTGCAAAGGGTACTGCCGGCATCTGGTAGCTGTCAAGAGCTGCCAACTAGGAGCAGAAAGGTGTAAGATGAACCTCGGAGTTCTGAACTTATATGAGAAGCCCCAAAGATGGAATATAATTGTGTGAAGTTATCAAAAGAATGAAAATGACTGTATGGTTTATTACTTCATAGACCTTGCTGAATGTACCAGAAGGGATCCAACTAAGGACACGGAGGGAAGGTGAAAGTCAGTAAGCGAGTCTCTGATGTTGAGTATCAAACGACATCTGAGCCTGCGAAATGTGGCTTTGGAGTAGAGATCTGAGGATTTTAGTATGAATGGGTGTATAGAGGAATAAACTAGTAGCGTAAATTAATGGCATATTTTAGTGACAATGACAGACATTTGACAACACCTACCAGTACTCCCAGATTCTACATCCAAATTGCAATGTGTGGTTATGATTTTACCTTCTAGCAAGTAGGAGGAAAAAAGAACAAAGTAAAAGAGAAATGAGACTATACAGATGATATTATATATGAATCATGTAACACCAATTTGTCCAAGGCAGTCTGTATGTTATTCCATGCTTGTACCTACAGATTAGAACAGGATAAAACTGTGTTATTCACGTATGTTACAGCGTTTTGATTAATTAGATCGGTAGATATCACAAAGTAAGCAAAGGTACTTGCTAGCTCGGAGAAACCTTGATCTTTGCATTTTAGGAACCATGAGTCAGCCTCTCGAGTCCTGGGTGTTCTCAGTGAACAGCCTAAGTGAGCTCCTGAGTCAGCCTTCACACTGGCTGTGATCCTTCCTCTCCCAAGCTTTACTAATTGCTTCTCTGCCTTGATGTCTCTATCTAAATGTTACCTTTCCCCAGCCATGCGTGGTTGGTGAGGTTTACCATCTCAGTCATGAAATCTCTCCAATTGAGAAGACCTTAAGTCAGATAAATGTTGGCAACAGCTAAGGTAAGAATACCAATACAGTAGTATTAGATAAATCTTTCTAGGAACTCACTGATGTATCTGAAGGCTTCACATGCTGGTAGGAATTTAGATTTAATTTCTCCCTTGGCAGCTTGCAGAGCACCTTTGGATGCTATGAGAGATAGTCCTTATGGAGGAGGCTTCCAGCTAAGTTCTGGCTTGATTCCTCCAAGTTCTCAGTCAAACTGTAGGCTATCTTCAAAAACAGTCTTCAGGGAAACAAGTGCAATGGCAATTCTTAATATTTAAGTCTCTTGGATCTCCCTGATGAACAACTCAAAGGCAGGTTACACACATACACACACACACACACACACACACACACACACACACCTTTTAGTACCTTAAGAAAATAAATACTTCCTATTTTTCAGATACTCTTAAGTGTTAAACATCTGTCCTGCTCCCACTGCATTATCTCCCTCTCTTTCCTTCATCAGTTAAAGGACCCCATTATTTTATTTACTTTTCATCACACCTGAGTTCTAGTACAGCCTTTTCTCCCTTTCCAGTACGGTCCCTTTCTGTTTCATAGTTCCTATAGTTATTTCATGTTTTATATTTAGATTTGAAGATGTTGAACTATGATCCATTAAAAAGCAGGAACATATGGCATTTCTTTTCTGAGTCTGGGTTACTCCACTGAGCCTCAAAGTAAATAGGATCACAAAAGAGAGGGTTGAAAATATTGTAAGATCCAGAGAACCAAGGTGCTTGCTGGTCTTCTAAAATGACAAGAAGCTGCACCCATGAAGACTCAAGAATATGTGGTATACATAAGGCAGGCAATGAATAGCTACTGACTGATAGTTAAAATCAGTGGTCTCCAGGGACCAGCCCCACGTTTGGTCAGACAATCCCAAGTGGGATTTTTAAATGCCTCTATATTTAAGGCAGCATGGAACTGCCAAAAGGAACTTGAAATCACATAGTAGTATCTAATCATAAATGCTATATTCGCTTTTTAAGTGTGGCTAAGTTGGGTCAGAGAAGAGTGTGTACATTTTAATCACTGTAGACGATGTTCACACACACACACACACACACACACACAAATGAGACCGAGAACAAGAAAAGTCAAAACAATCAAAACACAGATTAGTGTTTTTTTTTTCAAGTGGTGTTAGTGAAATGATTTTTTGGTCAGATAACGAGACCTTTAGAGGCTGAAATGAGTGATTTCTGTAGTGCTGTCCCTGCATAAAACACGGCTGAATGGAAAGTAAATGGGTGGTGAGACATGAGGAGGGAAAGGAGACAGCTCTCCTTTTAAAAGCTTGTCAAAATGGATTTCAAGTGAAATCACTAGTAGTCGGCATTGTGTAATGCAGTATACAATACCGCTCAATTTTGTTTTTAAAAAAAAAGGAAAGAAAAAAAAAAGCTAACAGTTGGCAAGAGCAAAAACATGTTTTCCATAAAAGATTAATAATTTGGGAGGTTGTTCTTTGTAATGTGTCTTCTCTTCCATCCTCTCCCAGTACAAACACATAAATACTAAAATTTATTTTCTCAAAATAAGTATAAAGTATTCAAGATTAGAAATGATAAAAATATATAATAGGATAAAGTATATAGTGGAAAACAGTTCTGAGAGCTTTACATGCAGCAAATAAAGTTATTGTAGGCACCTCTTTAAAGCCCAATCAAGCAAATAACTCATTTACAGTAAAGACTCTTACTCCCTTAGTTCCCTGTTGTGGGATCCAGGAAACCTGCTGTAGCCCTGGATACATGCAACTGAACTATTTATAAGTACCAATTTCTCTGTATTACATCTTTGACACCTCTAAATTGTTATAATATTAATCAAATTACAATAAATACTGAACAGTGATAAACATGTAATAATCATCTTCAGCATGTTTTTTAATTACATGTTAACAGAAACACCTTCATAACGGACACTTTCAGAAATGCAAGCTAATTTTCTCCAGTCCCACTGTAAGAGTCTGTGAATGTGGATTTTGTAGAAAGTGTTATTTTCAGTCACTGCAGAATTTTCCTTGAATTAATTCTGAGGCTATTGCTAATCTCTCTCTGTCCTGTGACGGACACTGTTGTCTTACATTTTCAAGGGTTTAAGGGTCTACATGAATTATCTACTGTGAAAGTGGAAGGTTGGAAGGATTTTTTGTTTCAAACATACTGCCATTCAAATACACAGATGGAGCAGGTACAAGAACATGAAGG